CCCCCCCTCCCCCTCCCCTACATTAGAATTTGGGTCTCTTAATTGGGAAGAGATTAATTTTGTGTTCTTGATGTGTTTATTGGTTACTGTTATGTTGATACGACAATATTTTTGTTGTGAGGGGTTTGTGATCGCGTTGCTTTAGTTCAATAATCCAAATTTGAGATACAAATTGGTTGGTAATCGATTTGATTGGAAACTGGATAAGGTTGATATCAACCGCGTGGCAGCGAGTTTGGGAGCATATATTTTTTCTTGTTCGAAAGAAAAAAGGCGAGAAGCCAAATTTCCCGACGCCCTCCCTCCTCCCCCTTCCCCCGCTCCCCTGCCCCCATTCCCAAATTGTCGGGCCACTGTGACCTAAACTAGCATCTCTCGCACTTACCCACACTTACTCACCTCCACATCCAGCCCGCCATTTGACATCGACATTATACAGCACGCCATTTGGCGGGCTGTATAATGTCGATATAAAAATTTAAAGAGTGTAAGGACGAGATCGCACATTCAGATGAAGCAGAAATTGTTTTCTGGACTTACTGTATCAATAGTCTTATTAGACGAGTTACAGTGTCGGTTGCAAACCATTGCTCGCAGCGTTGCTCCAATGCATTCTGCACCACCATTTGCCGGTGCCGGATTGTTACAGCTGCGTGTGCTGATCGTAATTCCAATACTACCTGCTATATCAGCGCAGCTACAGGCCTTGCACGATACTGACGCCCAAGCTGACCACTGTCCATCGATTCTCTGCAATAGTTCACTATCCTAGATTAACAGACGAGCCACAGAAGTTGGTAGTAAAAAGATGATTACATTTCAGAAATCGCCCAAATAAAAAAAATGGGCTTTTTTCTGAAATTAAATTGATGTGTTTTGCACGGACCGCATTTAAAATTATCCCGTTATTAGAACCACTAAATAATTATTGACGACACGCAGTGGGGGACCCCGTGCGATCATGCGTTTTTGCAGTGTTTCGTGCTGTAATAAGATTACTCGAAATTCGCTTAGCTAAAACCTCTTGTGCATACTGATCCTCGAATTTCGGTAACTTAATTATCCACGCTACAGTAGGACAGGTAACATTTCCTTTAAATCCCATGTTCCCAGCTTTCTCAGTTCCCGAGTTACCAAAACTGCAGCTAAAAAATTTCACTGGGCCGTGCGTGGC